AATACGCTACGTAGTCGTCGGGGATACCACAGTCTCGAAGAAAGATAGAAGGAAGAGAGGGGATAGAAGGAAGAGGCAGGCCGTCAAGCCTCACTTGCGGTAAAATTGACTGTCAACGGTATATTCTACCGTACAGCACACATCTGATCCTCTGGTACGTGTCTTTTTGGTTTTGTCTGTTTACTTATACTGATTGTTCGCGATGCTGGCAGGGCGTATGTACATCGGTAAGCCTTCTCATACACCGTCTGGGTACGCGAACGTCAGTCGATCTTACAATCGCCGTGCGTACTAGCCTTTCTTCCTTGGTCTTAGGCTCCGCGATTCCGACCCGCCCCTCGCGTCTCACCAAGGAATGATATTTCCTGTTTCTAAAACTACGCCGTCGCGTTTCAATGTCCACAGTTGTTGTCGTGTTTTCGTCATACGTCTAGCTATGTGTTGTTTTGTTTTCGCTTTATTGTCTGCTTTGTTGCCTTGTCGTTCTGGCTTGCGTCTGCTGTCTTACGTGTGTATTGTCTACTGTTTCGTACATAAATACATGTTGTGTACCACGAAATACGCTAGTAATCTTCGTCCTCAGGTAGAACGCCACATTGCTTGAGGAAACAGAGTGGCGCCCCTCGGAGAATCCCGAACACGACTGGCAAAAGAAAATGGTGGGACCAGGCTGTGCCCAGAGGGCGATGGTATAACTATTGGTCTTGTGTGGGTGAAGTAGTGTGGCGCAGAGGAATGGTGTCATTTGTGTGGCACGGGAAGACGGCCGACTCCGGACGGCGATTCCGCATTTGAAAGCTTTTTGGGAAAGCGTCAGACTCATCCTCAAGGCTCCTCGTCGGTAAGTTTGCTGAACATGCGACTGCGACGATGCATCCCTGAGACCCCAAAACAAAGGCTATGCCCGGCATAAGCGACTCATCACCTTCCTCTTAGGCTCCTCATCCTCTTAGGAGTGGAATCATCAGTCTACTCAGGCTCGGAAGTTAGTACTGTTAACGGTGAGCACCTCTTGCCCCGGATACGTTCTGGACAACTGGTCGCTACCACTGGTGGTTCTCCGGTTGTTCGCTTTGGCTAGCTCTTCTACTACGCATTACTCTAACCGGGGACTTACTTTTCACGCTGCTGTCTTGCCAGAACATACTATGTCTGCCATGGGTGAAGACCCGAATGTTACCACCAACGCGCTATTGGCGTACCATGCAAAAACACTGTTTCATTTCCCAGTCGACATTTACCCCTTTGCGTTCAAGCACACCCTTGAAGCAGATCAGATACTAAAGTGGCGCCACCTTGTTGTGGCCGATCCAAAACGTACATTAGCTCTTTTCAACCTTCACCCAATCGGACTGTTGGCCCATCGGCTGTCTCGCCATGAGAAGAATGTTTGGGGAGATAGTTTCATTGTGGGTTTGCTTCTAGTGTCACTCCTATTCCGTATGCGTAACTTACTATCCTCTTGGGTGGCCAGGATGTTCATCCAGCCATGGATGAGATCAGATGTCTATTCACTATAGATCCCTTGAATGCCGAAGGCCTAATCCGCGAAGGTCTTGTCGATGTTATGTGCGAATGTGTCACTGGGGAGCGAGATACTCTAACATGGCTGGAGTCCGTACGATCGCAATATGGGAGACGGACGACTCCTGTAGGTTGGTTCGATCGTCCTGTCGTGTTATGGTAACTCAAAAGAGTTACCTAGGCCATCTCGTCGCACTATGCGCCCCTACAAGTCCTATACCTAATACTGGACGACGCTCCCACTTTCCCAGAGGCGATAATCAGTCTAGTCTTGTGTGCGCTCCGGAGACATTGGTCAAAAATGATGACTAAAGTATGTTTTTTCCCTACCTCTATCTCTGCTACATATAATGAAGCTGCTGACCAGCCAAATTTAGATTTGGAATGTACCTGGGAACACCTTGGACAGCTTAAAAGGTGTCAAGAACCCAGCATATGTAGGATTGTCTGCTGAGCGACGTGTTGCGCAGGCAATCTTTGTGGCCGCCGTTGATCACGATGCCTGTTTTATTGATGTACGAAATGTGCCAATTGAGTGAAGATATTTAGTCATCAGTGTCTCCATCTCACTTCTCACATCTAGGTGCTGCGTCATGAAGAAGATTGCACTATTGCGGTCGCAACTCGGTATTGGATGATATCAAACCGGCCAGAGGACGTTACCGACTTCCTGAATTTAATCTTTCGTGTAGGACGATGGATATATCATCTTGAATCGCCCCAAGATCGAGAACTTCAAGTGGAGCGTTTTTTCGCTGGACTGTCGGCCGGGGTTCAGGGCCCGTTCACCGCTCTATTCGCCAGGGCTGAACTCATTATACCCTACAAGGATGCTGAGGTCGGTCTACTGAACATAATGGTCATGCGAAATTTATGGCGAATAGCTATGATCACCAAAAGTCCAAATGGGCGTCTCGGCATCTTATCCTCTTCGACCTGTCTCGATGACTACATCGCCACCTTTCTTACTTGTGACTCTATTTGGCGCTTTCTCTTTGGACGATGCACCCGGGAGGGCCCATTTACCGTTAAGCCCACTCTCATACCCGATACGCACAGCTCCATCTGGAAACCGAAGGAGAATATATATGCACCGTTGTCTGATTCATGGGATTCACCGAAATTGGTGGAGAAACTATGGGTACGAAACAGCAGTCATAATAGACTGGTTATTCACGCTAATCCTTACCCGGTTTTAGACAGAACATGCCACCTCTGAAGGATGGCCTTACTGGTACAATAATTCTACTGGTGAAAGTTTCTGGGATAAACCTGAAGGTCAGATCTTTTGTGCTTTCGATCATCAATGTAGACTGATCACTTATACATAGCATTGAAGAGCGTTGAAGAGGTACTTGCCTTATCTGCATGTCCCCTATTTCGGAGAGACGCTCAACCCGAGTGGATTTGTGTTCTGACAGCGTGCATTCGATCGAGCTGGTTGGAGGATGTGGTATCGGGATGCGTCTAAAAAAGGAAAATTATGGTATCACGTAAGTTTGTATCACTTAATATCGGCGCGGTTCGTTCTCACAAGACGTCTCACAGGCAGAAACGCAGACTGTTGAACACGCAAGGACGGCTGCTATCATGACGATCATGAAGCAAATCGAGAAGGAGGATGAATCCGTCGTCACCATAGAACTCCTTTCCCTATGTGTGCGGGACACTATGGACTTCCTCCCCGAATACTCCCCAGATTTATCACGGCTTCTCGTATCATCAGGGCTGTTTGAGGCATTGGAGGCCGTTGTGCCTCAGTGTTATGCAGACGATATGCTGCATAGTGAGTCTATGTGCCGAGTCTTCAGTTTTGTGGCTAATGGGTTATCAGAATGGATCGCACAGACTTTAGGACGCTTCGCATGGCTGCTCCGAAAGCAGCCTACTATCCTACCTGCCTTTCGAAAGCAGCTTCCTCGTTCACAATTTCTTCATTCCCTTCTTGCATGTGACCCTCTCGTTTCCTCGACTATGTCAACTCGATGCCCCTGCGTCCCAATACCTGCTGGCTCCTTGTCACTGGAACACCATAGGAGGAACAGGTTTGTGGACGCGCGAGCGTGGCAGATGCTTTTGGCGACACAACGCGCTTGTGATATTCACCGCGAGTGTATGGGGCGGGGGTGTCGAAAGCGCGTGGAAGTGCGGTGCAAGGGCTGCCGTACGGAGCAGTATTGTGGATACGAGTGTCAGAAAAGGTATGCTGAACTAATGTCGATACAGACGTCCTACTGTGGGATCTTGCTGACGAGTTATTCTCTTGATGATCAGGAGCTGGCGAGAACACAGGCTCGTATGTGGTCTTCGGCTCGACAAGTACGATGTGCTCCCGAGGGAAGGATCAGATGCGTCTGGTAGATCGATGGCCGTAGAGGAGGGTATTGTACTCACAGTTCCACTCAGACTTTGGAAAGACGACACTTTCAGCGCTCGGACTATCACGTAGCTCGGCTCTTTATTGAACTTGCTATCCCTTCCCAGTTGTCGGAACTCAGAAAGGCTTGCCGTTCTTCGCGTTTCCGTGTTTATCGTCCACTTCAAGCGTATGCCCTATAGCCCAGACCTGCCGTCGTACATACTAGACGCCACACGGTATCACCCGACCCAAATGTGTGCGCCACATTGAAATTTCACCCAAAAAGCCCCATTTATAGTGTCGTCCTCGTCTACATTCTGGAGCTAACGGTAATTACTTGGTATCTTCACTGACCTTCTCCGGCCACAGTCCAGCCATAAAAGTACAAGAGCCTTCACTTCCTCTCTAGGATTCCAAGGTCTAGGATGCGTGGATGCTGGCTTTTCAGCTCAAGAAGAGCTCCCGAAGTTCCTTCATCGTGTCTGCCGGGCTAGTGACGCTGTGGCCTATAGTCCTAGGGTCGGTGTAGATTTCGTAGTCATTCCCACCCTACGCCACGATGGACTGTCAACGAAAATGGTCTAGTAAGGGTACAGGGATGATGCTTACCTTGTAGGTCTTGTCGCCGAAGAAGTGAATCTCTTCGAACCCTTCGTCCTCAACATGTCTCAGAGCGTACGTCTTGTCCCAGCCGCAGGGGAAGACGTCGAAGGATATTTCACCACCGATGGCAAAGGTGAGACCATAGTCGGCGAACTTCTCTTCGAGGACTTTGACGAAGGTTGCACGGATTTTGTGAACCTGCGAGTTTGCGGGTGTCAACTCAATACATCTCTCGATAGCGATTGAAACTGAAAAGCACCTTGTCGAAGGCGTTGAATGCATGACGCTCTTCAATACTGTGAGCTACTCGTTAATTTGATGGCTTCAGACGGAAACGCAGGGGGAACGTACGTCGCATTACGTCCGATGGGACTGACGTTCATCATTCCATTGCGGTGCTCAATGAAGGTACCTCTAGAGGCATACTTTCACCGTTAAAACAGAAGCGCAAAAGACAACGCACTGAGATGACGTACCTCTTGACAGGGATATCAATGTCGGCCAGGTAGTGGAGGATAAAGTTAACCATCTTCTTATACTTCTCTTCGCCAAGCCAGCCGATGAACGACTGCGAAGATAGCTCTTTGCCCATCTTATAGGCTGTCAAGCCGTTCTCAGCAAAGGCATAGTCGAAGTCGTCCTTAGCTACGCGAAAACAGAGTGAGTTTGGTGGTCAGAATTGAAGCGCTGGAGGAGGACGGACCTGTGTGGCCCAAGACAGACAGTTGCTCCTCGATCTTCTTCAAATCGGACCCTCCAACAAACCCAATGACGACCTTCTTGCGGACCTCGCTGAGGACTTGGAGCATCTCGGCCGAAGCTGCCTATCTGGATAGCTCAACTATCCGGGGTGATACATGGTTTGAAAGGCTCTTACTTGACGAGCAGGAGACAGGGTGCCATCGACATCGAACAAGACGAGCTTTTTGATAGGTCGGTCAGCAAAGGTAGAAGAGACCATTTTGAACGTATACGATCCTAAGAGGCAGAAGAGAGAGCAACAACTGTGGAGGTGGCCGGAAGGGGGACGAACGATGCAAAGACGCAGTCCGCTTCTCGTCCACAAGTTATAATAACCTCGATTTGAAATTCGCCTGCGGCTTTTATTGGGCTTCAATACTGACACTACCTTCTTCCTCTCGACACCTTCCCTCCACGTAGGTTCCACGTTAGCTCGCGCTCTCAGGCAGCGTATCTGCTACGTGTCCACCACTATACTCAAGTACGGATCAATGGTTACCGTCTACAACGACTTCTAACGTGATCTATGAACCAATTTTAGCGACCGACTCAAGCTATCGCGCCCGAATGGACTCAGGACACAAGACAGAGTCTCAAAGGTACGGGCAGTTCGTCAATCCTATCTTCTTGACACTCATAGTTTATTACAGTCCAGACGATTATACCCCCACCACCGCGTGGACCTCTTTTGCTCATAAGAGGTCGGCAAATCTTCATGGCCTGACGTCGTACAGCGACCGCGAAGTTATCGCCCATGCTGAGCGTCAACTTGCGAGAGAAATTGACGCCGTCCAAGCTGCCCTGCTAGTCCTGCGGTCACAGAAAAACAATATATCTCTTCTGGCCCGTGTCCCCCACGAGGTATTCTCCGAAATCTTTGCGTTTCTTGCCGTGGGGTCTCCTCCTGGCACTCACAACGCGCTCGGGTGGATCGTCGTTACGCACGTCTGCCATAGATGGAGGGCCATCGCCTTGAGGGATTCGTCGCTCTGGAAAATCGTGGATCACGATATGGGTCCCCAGTGGATGAAGATCAGGCTGGCGCGTTCTGAACCGATCCCTATCCATCTCGAGTTACGGTTCCCGCTATCTGGGTCTGCTCTCAACGACGAAGTGCTCACTGTTGCACTCTCTCAACTTCACCGCATAGAGCGCCTCGGTCTCTATGACAACATCCTTCAGGCGAATTTCGAGCTCATTCGCGACCTCTTGGCCCAAGATTCAGCCACACTTCGTAAAATTGTCATAGTATCCTCATCCCACTTCGTCCTCACTACGGATACTTTCACTGGAAATTTCCCCAACTTACGCTCGATGACCCTGAGAGATACTCAGGTGACCTGGGATGGCTCTATCTTTGCGGGGCTTGCGTCCTTGACCATGGTCGGCAAATGCGTCAAAAAACCGGAAATCGGACAGATGTTGGCTGTTCTAGGTGGCATGCCCAGCCTGCAGAATCTCACCCTTTCAAATATTCTTCCTGACGCTGAACCGGGAGAAGACAATTGGACGGCCCGGAGTGGACCTACGCAACTCAAGAGTCTCCGCTACCTCAAACTCAATGACAATCTGCTTCAATGCGCCCAATTTCTGGCCTCCGTTCGACTCCCAATGGATGCCAGTCTCAGTCTCACCATTCAATGCGACGAGGCCCTCCGATTCCTCGGACGTTATGTCAAGGAAATCATTTGTGTGGTGCTACGTCTTTCCTTTCGCACACGCATCGGCGTCCCTGTGACCCTTCAGAGCCTTACCATTTCTTGCGGCGTACCTTCGAACCAACCTATTGGCATGCAGCTCGAGCTGGTGGGCATCCCTCACAAGTCGTCCGAAATGCAGCACTCCGAGGAATTCCATTTCCGTAAACCCTATTACCACCTCTGTTTCGTAGTCGGGAAACACGGTGACCAACCCGCGACATATCGCAACAAACTCGAACAATTCATCGTCCCTGCCGTTTTCAAGGGTTTAGATGTCCCGAAGCTCGTACACGTCAAAGTGGACGTCGAGCCCTTGTCCGTACATTACGATTATTTCGCTTGGGCATTCCGCAACGCAATATACCTCTCCCGCGTGTTCGTCGCCGGCTCAATGGGAGCCGATTTTTGGAGCGACTTGCAGTATTGTCGACATCTTCTTTCAGCCAATGATTCATCCTTATTGTCGACAAAGGAGTATCCTTTCCATCACGCACGGACGATCAAGATCTCAAGAGCCGATCTCTCTCGATTTCCAGGAGGTCTGAGCAAAGAAATTGTAGAAGAGCGCGTCAGTATGGGCACATCGCCGATAGCCAAGATCATGATCAAGGACTGCATCGTCCGGCCGAACTTCGTAGCCGACTGCACTCGAGCACTGGCGAGCAGGAAGGGAACGGTCGTATGGGACGGGAAGGGTGTCGTACATGTCTCGGAGGATCCAGAACAGGAAGATAACCAGCATGAGGGCAGTTTCGAGGGTAATGACCAGTAGGTATACCCCACCTCGCTATAGGCGTAATTCACTCAGATTCTCCTCCGCTACTTGAATCTCCCTTCTTTCCGTTTTTATTTCGTTATATAAAGTGGCGTGCCTATCAAATATTAGACCTCTGCAAATGTATCGTTATTTTGATTAAAACTAGACTCTTTGCATCTCGTATGCCATTCGGCTGACTGAAACTGTAGCCTGAATCATGTTATTCACTGTAATCCATGCTTTATATCTGTTGTCGTCAGACTATTTCTGCTACAGGTGAGGGATACAAGGTATAAAACATACAGCATACTAATCGCTACATGTAAAAGAGATACGCCCATACGAGCGCAGTCGTTGAAAGGACCAGTCATTTACCAGCCATCTTCTTCAACCGCTCCTCAACAGCTCGTGCTCGTCTCTCCCTTTCCACCTTCGCTCGCATCTCAGGTGTAAGTCCCTCTAACCCGTTTGCCGCACCAGCATTGCCTCCAAGCCGTCTTGGTCCCACCAGGTTCTCCTCCTGTTTCTTGGCCGGCTTCGCCTCCACGGCCTCTGGAGGCGGAGTCAAGGGTTCTTTCTCCTTTTCCTTGGCTTCCCGCTCCTTGACTTTATCCTTCAACCCCTTCCGTCTAATTTTCTTCTTCTCATCCTTCGCTTCCTCCATTTCCTTGCTCAACGCACTAGGCACGCGCGCCGCTCCGAACCAGTCCCACCAGTCCGGATACGCTCCTGCCGCTCTCCGGAAGACATCTCGTAGCTCCTTCGTCCGAGCCACATCGTAAGCCGTCCGACGTCCCACGCCGCCACCACCCGTGCTCAATTCACCATCATCTTGTGTGGTCGAAACAGCCGTGGTAGCAGATGGTACCTCGATGGTCGGGTCGGCATGTATGTCCTCCAACAACCACCTGGTTATTTCCTCCTGCCCGGCCTGCACCGCGAATTGCAACAAGGTCGTATATCTCGCTTCGCCCGTCCATTCCGGTATCCTCGCATCGACGCCACCCAAGCCTTCACCCTCACGTTCCCAAAACGACTTGAGGGCTTCGACACGTCCGCGGATTATCATATCAAGGAGGCGGGCCCATTTGTCACGGACGAGTTCTTCTTCTTTCGTTAGCTTAGGTTCTTTGGGGAGTGATGGTGCAGGGGCAGCGGTGGGGGGCTTGGGTTTGGGGGGCGCTGGTTTAAGGGAGGCAAGGTAGGCCTCGTCTTGTGCGCGGAGAGCGTCTTCGGTAAAGTGGGAGATTTTGACGCGGGTTAGTTCGAGGAGACAGCGGGAAACTTCGGATTGGGTCTATGGACGGTGAAATAGTGAGTAAAATATCAAAGACGGGGAATAGGATGGAACGTACCGGTCGACGTGTTGGAAAAGGGTATCCACGGAGCCTGTCATCACCTGTCGCAATTCGGTCAGGAAGAGAGGCGAAGATAGTTAGAGGAAAGATAGGTACCTTTTGATATGACTGCCTCGTCGTAGTCGTAGAATATCCGTTTATTTGAGGTGCTTGCACGGATCCATATTCGTTCGCACTGGTTGAGCTCGTCTGCCCATTCAGTGAGTAATCCGCGAATGTCCTAGCAAAGAGCCCGAGTCAGTCCCTTGAAAGGAAGGGATGTTTGACTGGACATACGTCACGAAGGGCCGTTTCTCCATACCGTCGAAGCTGAGCACCTGCATTCTTCGCGTTCCCCTTCGCCTGATCGTTCAGAGATTGCGAACCTCCCTGTTTCCGACGTGCTGGAGAAGTTAACAAAACATGGCATTTCTGAGCATTTTTGTCTTTACAAGGTCGACTAGAGAATGTGAACTGACTGGTATACCGATGAAAAGTCTTATGTTTCAACACCTCCGTATCTGGCTTCGGTTTCTTCGGCTTCCTCTTCTTTCCCCCTGTCTCTTCTTGTTCTTCATCCGCCTCATCTTCTGGTTTACTCACCCTGGCGATAGCGCCGGCAAAGTGACCTCCTGCTACCATGAACATCGCCCACTTCCTGCCCTCCTCGCCACTACCCTTCTGTAGTCGTTTAAGGTCTTCGAGATATGTCGATGGGGTTGAATCGGAGGGGTATATGGCACGGTAAATGCCGATCTGGGTGGAGGGTGGGGAGTGGAACCAGACCAATGCTGTTTGTGGGATTGAGCGATTAGAGGTAGGTGATGGAGAGCGTGAGCGGGATATCTTTGTTTTCTGCAGGAGATTTTGGACTGCATCGGAGTCTTCAGAGCCGCTGTCTTCTGACGACGACGCGGAACCCGAAAGCGAGTCCTCGAGATCTTTAAATGTACGTCGGTGTCAGACAAATGGTATTAAACAAAACAAATTGTTACTGGTGAACGCACCTTCGACAAGACGAGCAAAATCTGTGGCGGATACTGGTTTTCCTCCATTCAACCGTATCTTGACATTATACCGATGCCAATCCGAGCGGAAGTGTGTTCGTTGCTCCTCCACGTCTTTGAAAACAGCTCCCAGACAGACATTACACGCTCGTGCCCCTGTTGTCGTCTGCGAAGACGTTGGGTCTGGCGATGCTGGCCGTGAGATGTCACTTGGAGGGTTTTGGGTTATGAGGTTCCGGGGAGTGAGATTATCGAGAAGTTCGGGAGGGAGAGAGAAGACGTGATATTGTGATGCTCGAGCCATGATTTGCATATATGGATGGGGCTAGGAAGTAGGTAGGCCACTTGATGGGTGATGTAGAGGGAGATGTGCCAGTATCCGAGACCGTTCGTGAGTGCTTTTGAATGCTGGTGTATGGCTAGTGAGTCAGCACCGAGTGCTATAGCTATGCAGATTTGCAGGGGTCTTTGGCAGTCACTTACTAGAGTAGGGTCGCCCGAGTCAGTCAGAGTTTTCACAATGTCAAGCGAGCTTGTAGCGGTTCACAACAGGTTGTCGGATCCGAATCTCAAGGAGTCAGTGACCAGGTACCGCAAGTGCCACATCAACTCTCGGTGTGGCGCAGTAATGATATTCATCCACTCTTATGATAGAAGCATTTTGAGGCAGAACGTGCAGGAGTGCACAGATTGAAGGAACATGGATAGTCACGAAGGGGTTGAAGGACTTCTAGATATACATATTGAATACCCTACAAGCAAGTAAACGGCAGAGCCTGGAGGCTATTCAAGGCCAACGCCTGAGTCGCCGCATCCACATCTTTCTTCGACGTAACAGTGGCATTCAACACGCTAACACTAACGAAACATCCCGAATCCACCACCGCCGTTTCAGTAGGTAAATGGTCGCTCCCGCAGGTCTCCACATCTGTCACACTGCTATCCGCAGCGACTCTCGAGAAGACAAACCGGAAGTCATCCAGTTTGTTGCAAGGGGATGAGATGGTGGGATAGTTGACGTTGAGGATTGTGCCGGTGGGTACGAGAGGCGAGGCATAGCTACTGAGGAGGACGTTGACAAATTTGGTTGTGAGAGAGGCATAGAGGAGGGAGTTGACAGTGTCGGCCGAAGTGGGGCTTGAGGTGAGTGTCGTGTAGGAAGATTGAGAGATGGAGGAACCAGAGGCAGAAAAGGCGACAGAGGGTACGCCGAGATTGGAGCCTTCGCATGCAGCACCCACAGTGCCAGAGATATTCACAGTTGAACCCAGGTTATCTGGATGAATGTATGATGAGAGGAATGCTCTCGTGAAGTTTCGGGATGACAAAAATACGCACTGCCCACATTAGGCCCACTGACGATGAAATCAAGTGCGCTACCGAAGAATTGTGGGGCTAGAGTCTGTACACCGAACTTGGCTGCGTCTAGAGGGAATGCATTCACATAGTTCTCACGAGCTGCATGAAATTGCGGGCCTTGGTCAGACGATGATCGCTTTTGCGTGGATTTGTGACATGCACTTACTGTCTGAAGCGTTGTTCCCCGTCGCCGGCGAACCAACGGGGCAGGTATTAAATTCGCATTCTTGGGTTAGAACAGTCGGTGTAGCAGTTGATGAGCCCGTTCCGGATTCGTTCTCAGCAGGGGCAGACAGAACCACCTAAGAATGGAATAATTTCGACATCAGCATTGACACGGGGCAGAGGCCTGCAGAGGTATGCTGAGTGCTCAGAGTTGAAAACTTACCGAATAACCGGCCGCATCGAGAGAATCGAGCTGAGCACGAATGATGGCCACTGCCCATCCGTCGTCGTTAGTGAGCAGGATGTTTTTGGGCGTAGCGGCTGTCGCTGCTGAAACTAAGAGCAAAGGCGCTAGAAGTGACTTGATCATGGACAGGCTCATAAGAGGTGGGGTGCAAGGAGGACGGTGGACCCTCCCAAACTTCAGAATGCAAGCTTATAAGGAGTACTATAGATCAAGGTACGGTGGTGAAGACGGCTTAGAAGCTGTCACCGAAACGACCTTCATGGTTGACGCGCACGTTCGTGAAGTAACACATGTAGCACGAGGACGTCCGTCGTCTCGAGACACAAGCTCAGCGCGATTTGGCCACCTTACCTCCATCAGAAGAGAGGAACAAAGAATGTGAATACGCCGTCATCGCCGATCTTGGGGGGAACGTCGACTTTGGCATGGGTATGGGAAGAACAGGTTTGTTATGGCAGCATCCATGTGTGGAGATGACTGAGATACATGTCTCAATATTACCGGAGGAAACATTTCAGCATGGTGTTTTAAGTCCAGAGTGATAGATAAAGCATATGCAGACAAGTTACACTCACACATCTGTTGTGGAAGGATGACCAACACAGGTCTCTGAGTCGCAACGGCAGCCGGACACTCGATATTTATGTTCAAATCACCCTAGATAGTTGTCTGCTATTCGAGCAGACATCGTCCCGCAAGATTAGAGATGTATCTGTTACAAATGTGAACGTGCAACAGCTGCCCAGTCTGCCAGTGAACTCTAAAGGTCCCGACGCGCCTCCTATTCGGAGGACCGTGTTTATTAAAGGCCTTTAAGAGGAGCGCTTCTCCTCCTATGAACAAAAAATGATTTTGAGCGTACTATTGAGTATATTCAGCGGTGGATATTCGCAGGCGGAGCATGGTGGACGTTCGTCAAGTTGTCGACATGGCGGTTGGAAGACAAGGGAAGACAGCCTTGAAGGGAGCCAGAGCGTCGTCTCTGAACCGTGGGAGATGAGACGCGCCACCGAACCAAATACGGACACACGCGTCAGAACGCGAGCGCGTTTATGAGTCTCTGAGTCTCACTGTCTTTCAGCTCGCTCCTGCCAGCACCACGACGTGATCCATCTCCTACTTCTCTTTCTGAACGTCAGATTTGTGGTATCATCATGGCGGGACCTAAGCGTACGACGAAGGAGAATTTGCCACATAAGTGCGTACATTAGTTGACACAGTTGGAGCGCGTCTCTTGACGCGTCTGCGGCCCTGCCTTGTTCTTGAATAGATCCAGAGAGGCAGACAACGCTGAGCCGGCAGCCAAGAGAAGAAAACTTGGCACGCAAACCTCAGGGTCACAATCACTTCCTACCCAATCATCGTTCGCCGATGTTCTGCAAAAGTTGAAGGAGGAGAGCGCCGACGGGGCTGGTAAGTACAGTCTTTACGATCAACTGGGCGCGTCTTGAAAGTCTTCGACAGAGGCAGAAGGTGGTGCAGGCCTGTGGTCGCGCCCTGAGCTACCCGCAATCGACGAGAAGAAGGACAGTATTGGTGAGCATTGCTGACCCTATCGTATACGCTGGATTCTGATTAGTCCTCGTAGTCTTCCAGCAAATTGATGTTGAAGAGTCGGTGGACGCTTCTTCAGGACAAGTTACCATTCGTATGTTTGGTGTGACTGAGGTGAGTTCCAAGTCTCCGTGATTTCCCACATGTAATTGAGGGTTCAATAGGCTGGACATAGCGTTCTCATGCATGTCACACAATTCTCTCCATATTTCTACATTCCTGTCCCGCGAGGCTTCACAAACGAAGATGTCAATGCCTTCAGAGACCACCTCGACGTACGCTTCTATTACATCCCGTGCTATAGCATCACCTCTCATCATATCATGTTCAGGCTTCTGCGGGAGGTGTGCGTGCAGTTGAGCTCGTGCAAAAGCGGAGTCTATGGGGTTACAAGGGAGACGACCTCGTGATGTTCGCGAAAATCACTGTGACCGATCCAAAAGCGTTACCCAGGGTTAGAGATAAGTGCCAACTCCAGCGTCTTGCCGATGCAGCCGAAGCTAACGATTTCCTGCCTACACGCGTCTTCGAAAGGGGGGAGTGTTCGTTCCGTGATTTGTTCAAGGGCATTGTTAGCACATACGAGAGCAATATAGCTTACACGCTGCGCTTCATGATTGACACCAAAGTAAGCCAATATACTCCTCCACGTGAATGAAGGCTGATCATGATCAAGGTCGTGGGTATGAACTGGATCGAGGTGCCCGCCGGCAAGTACATGATAAACAAAGGCAAGAGTAAGAAGTCGCAGTGCCAGATTGAAATGACTGTCAGGTCCGTTGGCTCCATGTCTCCGAATAATATCTGTTACTGAGTTCGGACGCAGGTGGAACGATTTCATCTCTCATCCGCCTGACGGGCAGTGGTCCAAGCTGGCTCCTCTCCGAGTACTCAGCTTCGATATTGAGTGTGCGGGTCGAAAGGGTATATTCCCCGAGGCTAACGTCGATCCTGTCATCCAGATTGCCAATATGGTAACTCGACAAGGTATGTCTCACTTATGCAACGTACTGCCCGTCCATACTCAACTAGACTATACTTCACAGGAGAATCGAAACCCTTCATTCGCAATATCTTCACGTTGAACACTTGCTCCCACATCGTCGGGTCCCAAGTATTGTCGTTCGACGACGAGAGGGAGATGTTGCAAGCTTGGTGCAACTTCATCAACGAGGCAGACCCTGATGTTGTTATTGGGTATAACATATCCAATTTCGATCTGCCATATTTGCTAGATCGTGCAAAGGCCCTCAAGGTGGATGATTTCCCGTACTTTGGGAGGATCAAAGGTAAGCTGTTTGCGTCTCCTGGGTTGAAGGGTGCCTGACAGTGTGTCACATAGGTAACAAGACCCAAGTCAAGGACACGCACTTCTCGTCGAAAGCCTTTGGTCAGCGTGACTCAAAGGAGACTACCATGGATGGAAGACTGCAGCTCGATCTTCTGCAGTATATGCAGCGGGAGCACAAACTTCGGAGCTATACGCTGAACTCCGTCTGTGCTCAGTTCCTTGGCGAACAGAAGGAGGATGTCCACCACTCCGTCATCACGGAACTTCAGAATGGTACTTCTGAATCACGTCGACGTTTGGCGGTGTACTGTTTGAAGGTGGGCCACAATGCCATACGTTGTACCTAGTGACGCTTCCTAAGATTTGTCTGGCTGTAGGATGCGTACCTGCCGCAAAGACTTATGGACAAGCTGATGTGTTTTGTCAACTACACTGAGATGGCTCGTGTGACGGGCGTGCCTTTCAACTACCTTCTCTCGCGTGGTCAATCTATCAAGGTGCTGTCGCAGCTTTTCCGGAAAGCTAATGACGAAGGATACGTCGTTCCTTCTCTGAAGGGCGAAGGTGAGTAGGATGTCGCCAACCGATTCGATCTATTCCAAAACATATTGACCTCTTTCTGATAGGATCGGACGAGCAGTATGAAGGTGCTACTGTCATCGAGCCCAAGAAAGGTTACTACGACGCGCCGATTGCGACGCTAGATTTCAGCTCTCTGTACCCGTCCATCATGATGGCCCACAACCTCTGCTACACAACGTTGCTGGATAAGAATACCATCGACCGCCTCAACCTCCAGAAGGACATCGACTACATCCAGACGCCCAATAACGGTCTGCCCTTCTTTCCACTGCTCCGTGTATTCGAGTGATTTACGTGTTTGGTTGGCATAAGACTTCTTTATCAAGTCGCACAAACGGAAGGGACTTTTGCCCACCGTTCTCGAGGACCTGATCGGAGCTCGTAAGAGGGCGAAGGCAGACTTAAAGAACGAGACTGATCCTTTCAAACGCGCCGTTCTTGACGGTCGGCAGCTCGCTTTGAAGGTATCTGCTTCCTTTCGATTTCCTGGCTACAAATAGATACTCACATTCATGTCTACGTTTCAAGGTCAGTGCAAACTCCGTGTATGGTTTTACAGGAGCAACCATCGGAAAGCTGCCTTGCCTGCCCATCTCATCGAGCGTCACCTCCTACGGTCGTCAGATGATTGAGAAGACGAAGTCGGTGAGTCCTTTTACACGTCTACCCGCAAATTGCGTGCTGATGTCTGTTTTACCGCTGTCAACGTTCACAGGAAGTGGAAGCAGAATACTGTGTCGCCAATGGCCACTCGCACGACGCAAAAGTCATCTATGGTGATACAGATTCCGTCATGGTGAAGTTCGGTCCTCCAGATCTCGAGAAGGTTATGCAACTAGGTATGTGGCCTTCCCTCGTAGTCACATTCGGAAATGTTCTAACAGGCTATCTTTCGATCTTCAGGCAGTGAAGCGGCCGAGTTCGTCACACAGAAATTCGTCAAGCCGATCAAGCTCGAGTTCGAGAAGGTTTATTTCCCGTACTTGCTCATCAGCAAGAAACGATATGCCGGTCTGTACTGGACGAGGCCGGATAAGTACGACAAGATGGACTCGAAGGGCATTGAGGTGAAGAATTTTCCTGCCAACTGCATATCTCATATGCTGACTGTACGTTGCAGACTGTTCGTCGGGATAACTGTCGGCTGGTATCCACCGTCATCGAGACTTGCCTGCACAAAATGTTGATCGATCGGGACGTGAAGGGTGCTGAGGAGTAAGCACCCATTTGGCTGTTCCGTCGTGTCCGTTTCACTGATGATGGCTCTAGCTACACCAAACAGGTCATCTCTGACCTTCTGCAAAACAAGGTCGACATGTCGCAGCTCGTCATCACCAAAGCGTTGGCCAAAGCAGGTATGTATTCGTGTATATTCTGAAGAAACCCTCGCTGAGGAATTGGTTTGTAGACTATGCAGCAAAGCAAGCCCATGTAGAGTTGGCAGAAAGGATGAAGCAGCGTGATGCTGGTATGTTTATTGGCGTGATTTCGAGTAGCTCGCGTTGACGTCGCTCGCAGGATCTGCTCCTGCTTTGGGTGATCGTGTGGCGTATGTCATTGTGAAGGGCATCAAAGGTTCGAGCTTGGACATTATCACATCCCGTGTCTTGTCCTGACATGGCGTTACAGGTGCTGCTGCGTATGAGAAGTCGGAAGACCCGATATACGTCCTCGAGAACAGCATTCCAATTGACACCAAATATTACCTCGAGAACCAGCTTTCGAAGCCCCTCATGCGTATCTTTGAACCTATTCTTGGTGACAAGGCTTCATCGCTGTGTACGTTCTTCCACCTGACTCCACGAATTAACCGTTCTTACTAATGCTTGCTCTGTAGTGTCGGGTGACCATACACGGACGATTCAGATCGCTACACCAACGGTAGGCGGACTGATGAAGTTCGCCGTCAAGACTATGACTTGTTTGGGCTGTAAGACTGCTCTACGACCGAACAACAGCGTGAAAGGTAGGGCCACTTCTTGTTCAGCGTGCGGTCTGTTTTTCATGGTGTTGTCTTGAAGGCGGTGCCGTCTGCAACAACTGCCGACCCCGGCTAGGGGAGCTATATCAGAAACAAGTAAGCCAGCATTGCTATTCGTTTATTTAGTTGGGCCCTCATCCATTCTTCATCAGGTCTCTACCACATCTGCTATGCAAGTTAGCTTCTCCCGTCTTTGGACTCAATGCCAACGGTGTCAAGGATCATTGCATCAGGTAAGCATCTCTGCCTCTTGCAACTCCGCCAGATACGTCGTGGCTAACTGGTCAACGATCTTTCATAGGACGTCTTATGCAGCAGTAAAGACTGTCCGATTTTCTACATGCGGAAAAAGGCACAAAAGGATGTTGAAGACGCCGGCGGAGTACTAGAGAGGTTTGACAATGAAGTGTGGTGAGGTGATACGTTCCGGTGTGAAAGAGGCGTTATGCTGTGTTTGTGTCCATGGTTTGGGAGAGTTTGTTTTCACCCTGTATTAGTAGCAAGGTTTTGTATAGCATCGCATAGTTTGATTCTCTGTCTCCTAGAATCGGTACCTTCATAAAATACACCTCCAATCAGGACGACCCGCTCGATTGACACCTGGTCTCCCCGCCTCTGCAAAATGTCTCGGGCACCGCTCTGATACATCTTAGTTAACCAGAACTGGATCGCTCGCATTCTTCGTCACCGAAGACAACTAGCCCTCTTGCACCTGTCCTTTGCAGCCGCTACCTGACAGACGTGCTAGGGGCGAAGAAAGATGTGAACACGTCTTACGCCGTGCTCACTGGTTGTAACAACGTCGACGAGATCATCGAGTTGTGTTGTGTACAGAAGCACCCGAGGCATAAGAGAACCAGATGTCATAATGGTGCTCGTATCAGAGAGAAGACCAACAATCACCTCGACTATCGACGTCATGACATAGCACGCGCCAAGCTGAAACTCATGTCATATCGTCACAGAAGATCACGAACGGGGACTTGAGGAGTCGAGTCCGCATAGCAAAAGGCATGTACGAATAGGGAAGCATGTACGAATAGAGAAACAATCTAATAAGTAACCGATATATGCTGGTCCACGGTCAAGTCATTCAATCACTCTGCGAGTAGTAAGGTAAGGAAGGGAGAGTAGTAGAGATGATAGCTATCACGAGAGCCACGAATGCCAAATACTTATGGCGTATACAAACCGAACAAAATCAATCCAGTACGAACCATATGAGAGAGCCAATATATCACAGAACGATGAAGAAGTAGAGTTCAGGGCGCCGGACCTTTCTCAGGCGTGAACGTAGCCTTCTCTGGTGGATACTCGCTAGTCGGGGTACTAGTGTCTTCTGCTTTCGCGGGTTTCACGCCGTGGTGTGAACGAGGATCTTTGTTACGCCTCGACTTCCCAGCAGCAGCTTCTGCTACCATCCGTTCCAGTTCGCGTCGCTCCTCGTCGGATTCGTCCGGTACAGTGTTCTTGAAGATCATTCCAATGATGAGGAGACCCTAAGTGAATGAAGATGAGACTCATGTAAGCCAAATATATTTGAGACCTGTAGTACCTTTGCCCGATTGTAGAGGACTTGATCGGATACCGAATGGTCCTTTAATACGTTGTCCGCCACCTAAAGAAGATAAAATCAGGCTGCAGGCACAATTTATGAATCTCCTTAAACTGACCTCTCGTAACACTTGGACTACCTCGAATCGTGTCCCTCGCCATGACGCAAGCATGATCTTCCCGGTCACGTCCATCTCGAGTGCCTTCATCTCTTCCTCAGGTATCTCGCCCTTAGCAAGCATACGATCCATATCCTGCATAACCTGCTGCACGCTCAAACTAAGAAGGAAAGCAGCAAGTCAATCGGAAGTTTCTCCACGAAATGGCATGGAACGTACGCGCTGCCGATAACTCCCCATGCATCCTTCGCCATCGTCCCCTTCTCCTTGAGCCGAGACCAGAACCCTGGGCTGTGTACAAAGAATGTTTAGCCAACTGTTACATGAAACTGAGTCACACGAAGTACTCACATTCCAAGGAATTTCCGCGACTTAAGGAAAGACGTAGCTTTCGACATGTAGACCGTGCCGATCGCATTCAGTAGCTACCTCCGCAGCTTCATATTAGGATGTAGCTCACAAGTGGAGGCAATTGACCAAACGAAATATAACTTGCCTCAACTCCGAAGCTCTCTAGCTTCAAATCATCGGCCTCCGTCTTTATCCTCTGTTCGAACAGTCTCGTCTCCTCGTCGTCCTTGTCACCAGGATGCTTGGCCTCTACAAGCGGTCTCAGTCGCTCAATCAACTTATCTGTCAACATCTTGACTCTCTGCGCCATAGCTTTCTTCCTCTCCGCCTCTAGCTCCTCCATCTGTTTCCTCTGTTCCGGAGTCAACTTAGACTTCTTCTTCGCTGCGCGCCTCTTTTCTGCGTCAGAATTGACTGATGGAGATGTGGGTGTGGCAATACCGTCGGCAGACGGTGAAGTTTCACCACTCGGTGTACCTGCAGGTGACGTTACCATGGAGGTCGACGAACGTGGAGGTGCCTCTGGTGGCGGTTTGGCAGCAGCGGGAGCGGTCGAAGGATCAGGCTGGAGAGTTTCGCCAGATAGATCGGCCTTTGAAGGTGCACGGGGTGTATGAGCAGGACGAGGTGGGGTTGTGGGAGATGAGGCCGAAGCTGCGGGAGGGGTCGTGGCGCCACCATTCATTTCTTTCTCCATCTCAGCCTTCTCCTCTTCCGACATCATAGTTGTGGCCATCGAAGTCATATCCTTCATGAGGGTGATTTCGCCAATCTGTAACCTCAGTCATTAGCATTTTGACAGAATGGAGGGAAAGCCTGTGAAAAAAAGTTGAAAGAACGCACGTAGTCCATAAACCGTTCTCCTCCAAATACATTCGCGAAGAAGCCTGCCGCGTCATCGACGCCAACGCCACCTTCAGACTCCGTCTATGTCGAGCGAGAAGCAAGCGCATTCCGTGCCGTAAGATGTCAGATCAGACGCCTGTGCTAGAAGCTCGATGAAGCCGAAAAAGCGCACCATCTTTTTGCCATTCTTGTCATAGACGGCTCGCAGATTCTAAAGCGTTCGATGGACGAGAATGGGTATAGGGTTCGACGGTCAATTGGAGTCGCATGAAACTCACAGGGTCCGACAGGACTTGGTACGCCTTGCTATATCCTGGTGTCAGTCTCCTCAGACTACACAAAAGAAAGCAGGACGCACCTCATCTCCTTGAACTTCTCCTCTGCATCTGGTGAAGAGTTTTTGTCCGGGTGATACTACACAGCATTGAACGAAAAGACGCCCGCGCGAAGTTGATGTTTCCTTGAGCACGAGAAAAGCCCAGATGGAAGTCAAAGAAAACACACCTTCATAGCAGCTTTACGATATGCTTTCTTCAGGTCGGTGTCGTTGACATCTGTAGGCACGCCCAGCTACACATACAACCCATATCCAAATGAGCCTTTCAAACTAGGATCTGAGCAGGAGAGCCAGAGAGCCAGAGCACGCACCACATCGTAGTACTCAGTTTCGACAGGCGCCATTAGAGAGGTCAAGTGGAAGTCGTAGAAGGTCTATAGAGTGTGTAGTGAGAGTATTATGGAGGCCAAACCAGAAGAGGATGAAGAAGAAAGAAAGTCGAGGTATGATATCAGATTCCGCTGAGCTCAGTCGAGCAAGCACCGGCATACCGGCGACGGCGGTGCTTGCCGGCATGGTTCGCGTTCCTTCGTGTGGCGCCGCTGTGGCGCCTGCTTTGCGAATGCTGATGGAAAGTGCCCCTTGCTTGTCTCTTGGTGTTATTCTTCGATGTATTGCGTGGGCCCTGAAAATTCTTTGTTGCAGTGCTATGACCAGGGCGTGACCTCAAGGCATCAGACCACCCCAGCGAAGACGCACAAATATCACAAAAATGGTATAAATAGCGCAAAGTGATTAATACAAGGAAAGAACATTGATGTCCGCACAAGTACCAGACTCGACGTGCAGTGAAGGAAATGGCAGAGGTATCACGCGCAGGAACGACACAAGCACGAAGATTCAGAAGTATCATCCTTCGTGACGAGGCCCTCTCTGTTCGTAGTCTGCTCGAACCTGTTCAACGGACTACATCAGCATACAACACTCGCACCCATAAGGCGTCACAGAAGCGAAGCCCTTGGACAGGTTACGGCAGAAAAGAAATAGAGGCGTCACTATGAACAGACATACCTTCTGCCAAAAATCATCATCGTCAAGCACGCGGAAGGCAGTTAAAGCAAGACCTTTCGTGATGAGCATCGTAGACTTGTGGGCTTCGATGCTTCTAGCTGCCTTGGCGAACCCTTCGGTATGATTTGCAGAGTCGGAGGGGATACTGAAAACCGGATGAAGACCTGGCAAAGCTTTGCGGGAGTCAACTAAACCTGAGTGGGAGTGTGCGGCGTGTTGGATTTGATCTTACCATACGTGATGTTACCCTTTGTTAAACAAATTTATTTAGTAAGTAGTCTCAGCAGGAAAGAATTTCAAACGTACGAAGTCTGTGGAAGCCCCCACATCGGCGCCTTTGAATTGTGTAGGAATACTGTACCGGTGCTTGTAAATTGATGCAAGTTCACGAGCTGGTAATCCATGATTAGTCCGAGGAGTAACAGTATAGGTCAAGCATACGCACCCAAGACTCTGTTCTGTCGAAGATCATCGTTGTGCGTACCGAGCTTCATCTGAATTTTGCATCCAGTTGCAAGCGCGCCCGCTCTAAAGCATCGAAGTAAGACACGCACTCTTGGCCTTCTTAGCAGAGAAAGAAACTCACTGAAGGCAATTCACAACTCTCTCTCTTAGTTGCGAGAGTTCAGAGGGGGTTGGAGCACGAATGATCCATATCATCTTGGCATAGTCGGGTATGACTAAAGAAGGTATGTTTGTTCCTGTGCCATTTGGGTGGGACGGTTCACATACTGTTAGGTACCCAGCCATTGTCCTTTCCCTGAATGACTCCGGTAACACGACAGTCAGGCTTTATCTGCTGCCGAAGGACTGCGATATTTGAGTACGCAGAAAACGCTGCGTCAAGAGCATTGGTGCCTTCGAAAGACGCAGATAAATCAGAGATGATAATGGCGTCCAGCAAGACACGAATAAATTTACCTTCCCACGGAGCTAGGCCTGCGTGTGCTCTGTACATAGTCGCACATTTAAATGATGTAAGTAACAGAACAAAGGGATGAGAATTGCGTACGAATGACCAAAATATTCCACTTCGATGTACTGTAAGGACAATGATGATCCGATGAGAAGGTGTTGCTTCTGTGAGAGAGGGTTTCCTATAGGATGGCACCTGAAAAAATGTATTGCATTGAGTAGCGTCCCGAGGATAAAGATAATTCATGAGGTGAATAGATTTACATTACACACGCATCCATATGTTTGTATGCGCCCCGCTGGAGCAAAATTTCCTTTCCACCTCCACCTTCCTCGGCTGTAATGGTTGTCAAAAATGGATATCAAGAAACAGGTTCGTGACGGAGGCATGCCTGGAGTCCCTAGAAGAACGACTGTTCCTGTGGTGTTATGAACTTCAAGAGCGCGCTTCAATGCAACTGCAACTCCGACACCGGCTACGGCTATGAGGTTGTGCCCGCAGGAATGACTGGCTCCTTTGGTATCGCCACATGGAAGAGCGTCCATCTCAGAGTTGACGCCGATAGTCCGTCCGCCTTGCCCGAAAGAGAATTGGGCGCGCCAAGCGGTCTCAAGCCCCAGATAGTGAGGTGTGACATGGAAGCCTTGAGACTCCATGTAAGACGAAAGTGTGTCGTGAGCGTATCTGGTACCACAACATCAAACTTACGGTCTATCCAAATAAAGAAGGTACGAGGCTCACCTTTCTTGGAACATCAGCTCAGGGTGGTCTGCAGGGTCCCGAGTGAGCGATGGCGCATCATGCGAATCCACGTACTTGGGCTTGAGCTTACCGTGAATCTTCAAGCTGAGCTCCCTGAGTTCTGAATCAAGCTCGTCTAACTTGTCCTCGATAGTCTGCATAACCTCGGGTCTGAAAATATCACTAGGATGGTTCTGAGAATATGGAGGAAGATGGCCGTCATAAAATTCGTCCGACTGTGGCGAGTTACTCCAGCATGCGGAATAACCTCCTTGGGGTAGCTTTAGAACGACCACACATCAGTAAGAGCGCGGTTCCATAGCATCTCGTCATCCACTTGCCGATTTCTCGAAGGACGAGTGTGGTTCTTTACTGGGTCCTGCCACGGTCTGTGGATGTCGATGACGACGAAATAAACCGGCAAAGCAACCTGGAACGTTAGGCATCGTAAGTGTGAGAGTAATGGAGGGTGATGTAGTTCTGATGAGTAGTTGGGTTGTGGAGAAGAGTAAGTAAGATATACAGAGGCTTATATATAGTCCTAGTCCACGATGAGCAGATGCCGATCCGCACTTTATCGGTGAAGCCCACAAGTGTCAAGAGAAAAGATCTTGCTGAGTTATGCAATTCCGCGCTCATCGGCAATGGCTGGAGTCAGGCGATACCACGCTGTGGCGCCGACCTGGAGTGACGCAAACGTCTACCTTTCTGCTTTTGCGCACCGCCACTACGGAGGTCGCCGCGGGTGAAAGCCACCGGAAAATCAACCGGGTTTTAGGTGGTATTCGACGTTAGAGCGGTCGATCTTCACCCTCTCGCGGCTCTCCGAGGCGATTTTCGACGTCGCGGGAGGTGATCAAGAATGGTGATGATCACCCCGCCTATGCTCCTTTTCACCCGATCCTTTCTCGAGCTCGGGCAGGGTGGTTTTCAACCTCTAGTGCTGCTTTTTTCAACCGCTGATTCTATGCCATGTTCACCGTCTTTCACAGGCGACTTTCACTCCTATATCACCTTGACCATCCCATTGGTCTCTGGCCGTGTATCGGGTTTCACCGCCACCGGCGGCAATATTTATGTTTCCGTTCATTTGTTCTCGACGCTCGTCGCTTCCGCTGGCACGCTTGGTTCTCACGGTATGTTTTCAACCCCACTCTCCCGGTAAAATCAAAACACGATAAAGCAGCAATGATATTTTCGAACCAGACACGGGGATACAGGAGCATTTACTCGACAGCCTCAGCTAATGATAAACATTGGAC